GCCCCGTGGCGCCCTCGTGGAGTGTAAAGTGGCCTTTTGGCGCCCCCTTAGAGTGCGCTTGGGGCCGTCTTGGAGCCGTCTTGGGCCCCGGTTGTCGTGGAGCCCTCTTGAGGCCTCGGAAGGCCTTCGGATGCGAAAAGGCGAGAAGGCACACAACACATATTATCTTCAGGTCTTGGAAGATTTGGGCCTCTTGGAGGGGTCCTGGCGAGGCTCCAAGGCCACCTGTACCCATCTTGGAGCAGTCTTGGGGCCTCTGTGAACATCTTGGAAGCCATCTTGCGCCATCTTCTGATATTTTGACCGATCTTGGAGGCCATCTTGGGCTCTCTGAGGCCCCCTTGGAGCTATCTTGGGCTATTTTGGACGCGCTGACCGCTCTCGACCCGCCCCCTCCAAACCCCGGAGGAGGGGGTAGGGGAAGGGGTCCCCCCTTCCGAAGGGGAAGAAGGGGGTTGGAAGAGGAACCGCTCTAAACCACCTACGCCCTCAAGGGCTGGTGGGATTATTGTGGGTTCGGAAGTGGCGCAACGAACGAAGAGATGTGAGTCACAGCTGTGTGCTGTTTACTTGGTGGTAGCACATCTCATGATACTGCCAGCTTATCGCTAACCGCACGTAGTGCCACGTCGTACCAGCGTTATTGCATCCCCAGCTTGCTACCAAAACGCGTAACAGTACAACATGGGTGATGTGCCTAAGCATGATGCGATGCGCCGACGGTGCAGCTACGCAGTGATATGGCAGTCGCGTAGCGTATCAGTGCCAGCTCATTCAACGCAGCGGACTTCCTCATCTTATCTGAGTAGTGATTGCGATGCCCTCGTGGCGCGACGGAGTTCTGGTTTGTCAAGAGTTCAGGTATCATGCTCAATCTAGAACTCTGCCTTCAGCTGCTTCTGGGCCGCCATCTCGAGTAACCTTATCTGTTCTCTCGCTCGGTCTGTCGCCGCAGCACCAATGAAGGTCAACGCGGCATGCGTCCTCCCGAGGGAGGGTGGCTAGGGCCGGCAATGATATTCAATGCAGACTACGCCGACACATACTACTATCACGCCTTCCCGCGAGCGAGGAGGGCGCCCTCCGAGCTTTTGTCGCAGGGTGGGGAGGAGGGTCCAGCGGGGTGCCTGTCGGAAATGCTCGTGATGCGCGGGTGGCGCCTACGGTGCCCTGCGGGTCCGCTGCCCCGCCCTCGTTTCATGGCCCGACGGGATCCAGTGGCGGTGTTCGCTGAGCCCCCGTCCGCATGGAATGGACATGGCAGTGTCAGAACGTTGACACCAGGAGCGGCTTTTGTAGCTCAAACCTAGATCCACCTCTTGACGACGCCTTTCTGGAAGCATGCCTCGCGCTCGTTCCCACTCATGTGCGCGTGCGCTGTCCAGGGTCTGGACCACAGAGATCACGCCAGGGGTGATTGTCACCTGGGCCTGCAGTGAGTTCCGCACGCTTGTCTGACAGAACTGTTCCGCGATCGTCTGAGGGGGCGGGTGCGCAATTTCGCAGCAGTACAATTCTAGCATCTTCTTGGCGTGAATGTGGTCCGTTACTGGGTGAGGGGTGAGGGGTGAGGGCGAGGTGTGAGGAGTGGGCGACCGTCTGCCTTGTAGGTTTCCTGGCGGCTCGGAGAAGTCGCGCCCAAGTTTTCTGTTTCCAGTGTGCGGCGCCTCTGGGGCCGCTTTCAGGCCCTGGGGCCATCAAACGACTCCGGGTGGCAGACCAGTCCCTGAGAAGGGGTCGATTGGTCTAGGGGCCAGTGGATCAAACAACTCGAGCTGGAGGGTTGGGTTATTTCGTCTCCTTCGCCCCCTCCTGGCCGATGTTCCCGGTGCCCGTCCGGAGCAGAGGCTTCTATAACGCACCTCTCGGCCACGCACGGCCACGCGCCCACTCCGACAGAGCACGCCATCTCTGCCTGTCCGCCGTGCCGTGCTGTAGGAAGGCGCCCCGGCGCCAGCTGGCCAGGGCCTCGCCGGCCACTCCTGTGACCGGCGTGGGGAAGCGGGGTGGGCCTCCCGTACACTCGCAGGGAAGCTGCCCGCGCACGGTCGCGCGCAATTGCCTCCTCTCCCACGTGGCGTGCCGCCTCTGGCGGCCTGCGCAGGCCACCGCGTGGGATCACCGTGTCCTCGGGCGTGCGACTCCCTCGCCCTCAGCCGCTGAAGTGGGGCTTCCCCAGGGGGCCGCCGGCCCTGTCCTGGGGCGCGCTCTGACCAGAGTTTCAAAAGGCGGATGCAAGCGTGGCCACGGGAGCACCCGCAGAAGCTCAAGAAGGGCCAACAGCCTCAAGAAAGGCTTCGATTTGGAACCTCGATCTCCCTCGACCCTTGATGCGATCTTTTCTCTTTCTGCTGCTCGTGCGCCCATGCCTTTGTTGGCGTTTTTTGCTTGTTTTCCTTTCCCCCCCACGGGGGTCCCTGGACATCTCGACCGCTTCCGCGGAGCCTGCTTCTCATCCAGGGCCGTTTTGACCAGCCCTGCCCGTGTCTGGACCTCCGGAGCCGAGAAGTTGTGTCGAGAGCCCTTCCGTCGCAGTGTCTTCCCTCACGGCGCTTGTGCTGCTGGGTGTGGTGAGATGTGCTCCGCAGTCCGCATCGCGCCCGGCCGCCCCCGACTCCCTCTCGGCCCTCGGCTCTTCGTGATCGGAGCTCGCCGCCCAGCGGCCAGGCAGCGCCGCTCGACGCAGGCCACGTCCATCCGTACCCCTGCTGCACGCTGAGGCCAAGGCCGCGCGGCCGCAGCCCGGGGGGGGCAGCGGGGAGCTCGAGATCGTCGCCGCCGCCGCCGTGGTGGTGGTGGTGGTGGTGGTGGTCATCGTCATCGTCATCGTCATCGTGGTCGTCGTCGTGTTGAGGTCAATGTCGCAGTCGTCGTCACCATAGTCGGCGTCATTGTCGTCGTCGTCGCCGTCGCCGTCACCATAGTCGTCTTCGTCTTCGTCGTCGTCGTCGTCGTCGTCGTCGTCGCTGTCGCCGTCACCATGGTCGTCTTCGTCGTCGTCGTCGTCGTCGTCGTGGTCGTTGTCATTTGTCATGTCGTCGTCGTCGTCGTCGTTGTTGTTGAGGTCGTCGTCCTCGTTGCCGTCGCCGTCGTCGAGGTCGCCGTCGTCGAGGTCGCCGCCGTCGCCGTCGCCGTCGCCGTCGCCGTCGCCGTCGCCGTCGCCGTCGCCGTCGCCGTCGCCATCGCCGTCGTCGTCGTCGTCGTCGTCGTCGTCGTCGTCGTCGTCGTCGTCGTCGTCGTCGTCGTCGTCGTCGTGGTGGCCGTATTTGCTGGCGGCCACGCCTGCTGCGAGCCCGCGCGCCCGTCGCCGCAGACGCCGAGTCCCGCGCCTGGGCGTCAGCGTCAGCGTCGTCATCGTCGTCGTCGTCGTCGTCGTCGTGGCGGCCGTCTTTGCGCGTCCGCGCTGGCGCAGACCCCGAGCTCCGCGCCCGGGCGCCGGCGTTGCCGTCAGCGCCGCCGCCGGCGCCGCTGGCGCCGCCGCCGGCGTCGTCGTTGCCGCGGTGGCCGGTGCCTCCCAGGCGAGGCGCGCGCGCGCTCGCCTGGGCGTCAGCGTCGTCGTCGTCGTCGTCGTCGTCGTCGTCGTCGTCGTCGTCGTCGTCGTCGTCGTCACCATAGTCGTCTTCGTCTTCGTCGTCGTCGTCGTCGTCGTCGTCGTCGTCGTCGTCGTCGTTGTCGTCGTTTTCACCATCGTCGTCTTCGTCTTCGTCGTCGTCGTCGTCGTCGCCGTCGCTGTCGCCGTAACCATGGTCGTCTTCTTCGTCTTTGTCGTCGTCGTTATCGTCGTCGTCGTCGTCGTCGGCGTCATCGTCGTCGTCGTCGTCGTCGTCGTCGCCGCGCAGCCCCGGCAGGCGGCGCTGCTGTGCCACCTCCTCGGCGTGCTCACCGCGCCGCCGGGCGCGGCCGCCTCGCGTCGCGGGCCTTGGCACGCCGCGCCCGGGTCGCGCCCCCGCGCTCGCGGAGCCCGTCCGCGCCCTTCGAGAATAGAAGGGCTCATTCAATGCCCTCTCCTCCTCCTCCTCCTCCTCCTCCTCCTCCTCCTCCTCCTCCTCCGCCCTCCTCCTCCTCCTCCTCCTCCTCCTCCTCCTCCGCCCTCTTCCTCCTCCTCCTCCTCCTCCGCCTCCTCCTCCTCCTCCTCCTCCTCCTCCTCCTCCCGCGGTGGTCCAGCGCGCCTCCGGGGCCTCCAGCGATGGTTGCCTCCCTGGCTCTGGCCCACGGGATCCTTCAGTAAACCATGATCGTCACGTTGTTTTTGCTGTTCCCTGGATGCCTGTTTCAACTCACAGGGCGCTCATTGACAAGGGAGGCGAGGGGCCAGGAGCCGACACGCATTTGCGCGCCGATGCGATTGCTGGGCGCCATGTGTTTTCGAACACCTAGCGTTGCTATTGTGCCGCTTTGCACCGTTTGCGGTTCCATTGTTGGAAGTGCCAGCGCGTCAATTTTCTTTGTTCGCGGACGCTTCGTTGCCGTGTCGCCGCCCCCGGGGGTGTTTGCGCTGCTCCTGTTCTCCTCCTCTTGCTGGGCATGCGCATGCGTATTTTCAGAGTTTGTTCGTCGTACTTTGAATTCGCGTCCCCCTTGTCCTTCATGTTCGTCCTCTTCAGTACCCCCCCCCTTCGTCGTCCCCGTCGTCTTCGTTCCCTCGCCCTCGTGCTCCTCATTTCTTTGTTCGTCATTTCGTTCTGCTCCTCATCTGTCTCCTCCTCGTTCGCCTGAGCTCACCGGGAGCCTCTTGGGGCCCTCTTTGGGCTTCCTCGGGGCCCCATGCGGGCTCCCCGAGTGCCCCCGAATCAATATGGACGATGCATCTTGACTTCGGGCCCTTCTGGGCCGTCTTGGAGCCCGCGTGAGGGCTTCTCGGGGCTTCTTTCGAGCCTCGTCAGGCCCCCCTGGGGCTCTCCGAGGGCCCCCGAGTCCAGATGCACAGTGCATCTTGGCTTTCAGCCTTGTGGGGGCCATCTTGGAGCCTGCTCGAGAGCCTCCTGGGGCCTCCCCTGGGACCTCCTCGAGGCCCCCTTTCCGCCGAATCCCGGCGCCCCATCGACGCGCCAAGCTTCAGTAGGCTCCCGCGCGCACCACAGAGGGGGCGTCAATCTTAGTGCTAATTTCATGGATTAATTGTATGATCAATTTTAGTACTAATGCTGATGCTCATTTTATTGTTAATTTGAAGGCGCATTCTATGACTAATTGGGGCGCGGCTGTGGGGCCTAATCTGGGGATCAAGGTGCCCGATCATTATCTGGCTAATAGGTTGACTAATCGGGGGGCACACCTGGAAGACCCGCTACATATGCAACACGGTCGTCGCTGAAAGTTAAGGCAGGAAATGACGTGCCCATATTCGTGGCATCGCGTGTCTTCCAGGTGTGGCCAAGACAATCAGGCAGCATATCCGCCAGCGTGTTGGCTGGCAGGTCATGGAGCCGAACGGTGCCGACGAAGGGAGACGTCGAAGGGGAGGAGGAGATGCGGTCAGCAGAAGCGGAGAGAGGGGGAACGTAGTCCGCAGTGGGATCAGACAGGACAGTAGTCGTGAAAATACTAGGGAAACCAGCCAGGAAATTAGCCAGGAAATTCGCCAGGAGGTTGGTCAGGAAATCAGCCAGGAAATTAGCGGGAGGGCGAACAGGGACTCTGACACCTCCTCCTCACCATACCTCGCTACTCAACCTGGTCTCCCCTGCCCTCCTCGCCGTTTTCCTTATTGTCCTCCTCCAGCTACTGTTGCTGCTGCTGCTGCCGCTGCTGCTGCTGCTCCTCCTCCTCCTCCTTCTTCTTTTACGCCCCCCTCCCCCCCTCCCCCTCCCGCCGGCAGGACTCCATGCCTGCCAAGGCGTCCCCCCTCTCCGTCCCCTCTCCGCTCTACTCCCTCCCCCTCCGCTCCCTCTCCTCCCCCCCTCTACCCTCGTCCTCTTATGTCCTCGTCCCCTTCTGCCCCTCGGCCCTTCCGCCCTCGTCAGGCCCCCCTGGCCCTCCTTCTGCCCCCGTCCTTCTGCCCTCCCCCTCCCCCCCTCTTTCCTCCTCCCCCCTCTACCCTCGTCGGGTTTGGCTCCTCCCTCCCCCTCCCCCCTCCTCTTCTCGCCCTCCCGCCCGGGGCTTGCAGAAAAGGGGGGAGGGCGCGGGAAAGGGGAGGGATGGCGGAGGAGGGAGGAGGAGGGGGGAGGGCGGGAGGGGGGGAGGGGGGGAGGGGGGGAAGGCGGAGGAGGAGGAGGAGGAGGAGGAGGAGGAGGAGGAGGAGGAGGAGGAGGAGGAGGAGGAGGGGGAGGAGGAGGAGGAGGAGGAGGATCAGGATCAGGATCAGGCCCGTGGGAGTTCGTCTGCTGCTGCTTATCGCCTGCCAAGCTACTGCCTAGCGGGGTGGGGCAGGGTGAACTCTGGGGGGCGAAACTTGATGCCGCCAACCTTCCAGCGCGGCCCGTGGCTCTCGACGGACGCCGCACCGCCCCTGTGGGCACCCCCGAGAACGGCACGCAGCCTGGCGAGGGGCCCACTGATGGGGACCAGTGAAACAAAACTGCTACCGACCCTTGCCCTTTCCTTTGCCCTTCCCCTGACTGCCTTTCCCTCTGCGCATGCTGTCCCTCTGAACGGTGGGGGTGGTCGCTACCGCAGGGCTGTAGGCTGATGGCGCTGGGGGGGGGCGCGGGTCCAAACCATCTGCATTCACTCTTCCTAGTGCTATGAGCTCCGCAAGCCTAACACTACCTTGAAATCTGTCATCGCCCAGGAAGTTTTGCCGAACAGACCGCGGGAGACCAGGGGGGCCACCGTGGACGGTCCCAGGGCAATCCAACACTTCAAAGCTTCGGCCTGGTTAGGCCTTCCTACCGTGTTGCTCCTACTAAGCTGAGAAGGCCTACATGCTCTCTCACTCACCTCAGTCGAGCGTCGTTCCTCACTTCTGCTGCTCACTATGCTGCCTCCTTCAGTTCCGCCAGAAGCTTGCTGGCATCCCGCTCCAGCGGCCCGCGTGGCGCAGGGCCTATCTTCCTCTCCCCTCCGAGGCCCGCGAGCATGGCCTCGACCTGCGTAAGCATGACCCTGCCGAAGGTGCGGGCGGTGTCGATCGCGAAGATGATCCGACCCTTGTGACTCTCGGCCTCGGTCTGCTTGCCCTTGTTCCGCTTCCACTGCCAGTGGAGTATCACCTCGCCGACCTCGATCATCTTCATCTTGCTGATCGTCTCCTTCCAGAGGCTGCTGATCTCCTTCGCCCACACTGGGGCGCCCTTTTTCTCGGCCCCCTGCGCTGCCCACAACATCGAGGCCATGAAGATCTGCACGAATGGTGGTCCTCTGGACGCCCAGTTGACCGTCTCGCCGCCTGCCGCCTTCTCCTTGAGGCTTTTGGATACTTCGTTGTACTGCTGCCCAGACTCCTCCATGGCCGTTGCCAGCCCTGTGCCTGCGTCGAGGTCGAACGTTCTGTACACGGTGGCCGTCAACTCTGCGAGCTGCCGACTGTCCGATAGCACCAACTTTGCCAACAAGACGACGAGCTGCGCCAGTGTGGAGCCCGCGAGCTTGTTGATGTCTCCTTTGCGGCCTCCTGTTTTGCGGGACTTGAGGGCGCCCCCGACAGATGATGGGGCCTGCATCCACTCGGGAACCTCCAGACGCTTTGTCACCTCGGCGTCGGGCATCTTCGTCCGAACTCTGCTGAGAATCGAGGTTCGCGTCAACACGCCGTGGTAGATGCCACTCAGCCAAATGACTACAGAGATCATCAAGCCCCCCAGCCTTGTACTCACAGATCTTACACTCGAAGCTCGACGGGACACGAACCTGACGAAATGTCGAAGTACCCCTCGAAGGACACCTCCCTGCCAAGACTGCCCTCTGCAAGTGTTTGTAAGCGTTGCCCTGCGACCCGAAGACACGGCGACATATGATACATATATTCGTTGGTGTGATCGATGAGCATAAGTTATGAACCCGATGTACACGCCTCATATGATTTAGTAAATCACGTTTTGTATGAAATCCTCGTACACAGGTAATTCCCTCCTCCCAATCGCACCTCCAAGGGGGCTCCACTGTCTCATTGGGGTCCTCAGCCTCAGGGTCACCGTCGAACGAAGCCTCTCCTACCACCGGTGGGATCGTGAACGACAACCCCCGCGAGCGAATTTCCGTGAAGTCGAGACGAGCGAGGGCCGACACTGTTTCTTGGCTGATCAATTTTCCAGGAAAGCGTGCAATATGGGCGCAGATCTGCCCCTCGTCCATACACTCTGCAGCCTGCTGGAAATCGTTATGTAATCGAACAAGCCACGGGGAAGCGTACGCACGAGCCACTTGATTGCCAAAGAGCGCTGTACCGTCAGGGTCAAGTGGCATCGTGCCGAAAAGCAAGCACAACTCCTGCATGTGAGACTCTGGGCGCATAGCCCAGCTGCGGTACCAACCCAGCCTGCGAACAAGGAGTTCTGTGGCCGAACTTGCCAGACGCCAATGCTGCAAGACTTGTTTGTTCGTAATAGTCCTCGTCCTCCCCTCCTCCTTGCTGATCACCGCCTTTCCCTGCATCGCTCTCCTCCCGTATCTAGCGATTAGTGCGTCCAGTTCTCGATGATGTTTAGCGGTCAGGAGCATTGGCTCTAGTCCCGTCAAAGCAGCATTCTGAACAAAACTGAGGAACAACGTCCGCTTCCAGCGAAACGGCATGGGTAGACTCCAGACCTGCCCGAGTGAATAACATGCCTCGGCGGTGGCCTGGATCCGACGACGAACTTCTACGAAAGCGGGTTGTTGCAGATTAATTCTGGGTCCCAGGTAACGAACATCCTCCTGAACTTCATCTGATATCATCTCGCGGCCCCGTCCCCGAACCCACTGCCGACATTTAACAGCCCCTGGTCCCTGGAAGCATAGCTGCAACTCCTGTTTCGAAACGTTCTGGGCGTACCCAAACTCCTGCAACTCCTCCGAAAGCGCCTCATCCGCCTCCTTCAAGACCTCAAGAAACTCACCTACCCTGGAATACTCAGCTGCGACATGGGCCCTGAAAAGGTCGTCGGCGTACAAATACGTACCGACGTCCGCTCGGAACTCTCTCCAGTGCGCGATCAACCCGTTCGAATGAGGGTCGATCTCACGGAGTCGCGAGAGCCACTGCATGATGGGCCGAGAAAACGTGCCTCTGAAGAGTGTGACTATGTACGGGTCCCCCATCGTGCCTCCCTCTCCCGACTTCAAGTACACCCCTCCTTCCAGAGACTCCAGTCGAACCACACTACACTGAAAGCGCTGAAGACATAAATCAACATTCTCGGGGGCCGCATGGAGGTTCACCGTGTTAGTCAACTCCTCCCCAGACCCACACGCGAAAGCGTTTGTCATATCCTTATAAGTACATGCGAAACTATGACCCGCTCGACGGAGTCGCCAACTAAGAAGTTGCACTGCTAGCATAGCGTCTTCTCGTCTACGGCCACGGCAAAACCCATGCTCTATTGTCATCGGGGGCACATTTAGAAGACCAGAGTAAACCGCCTTCCCGAACGTAGGTAGAACGTGAACCGTTCGACGTCCAAGAGGTCCTGGCTTCGCATTTTTTCGTAGTTGTGCCCCCGAGCTACAGTGCCAGCGCATAGGCGTCCTATTCGTGGCCCTGATCAGTCGAAGCCCCACTTCCAAGATTCGCCCAAACAAATGCATCTCTGGAAACTCCTGCTGGAAGCCCAATCCCTGCCCCTCCGTGCTAATGTTCGCCTGCGACCGTCGGCAAAGAAGCCAGAGCTCCGCGGGTGTCGTGCCAGTCGGCACAGCTCGACGCTTCGTGGCCGAGCGGAAATATTTGGTCACCCGCTGCTTGTCTTCCTCTGCCAATTCGCAATCGGCCACCGAAATATATGGTGTGGGGCCCGCAGGGAACGACTCCAGCCACCTCTCGTAGTCTGGAATGACTGATGCAGACATCCCTCCGTCACGGCCTGCCTGCATCCAATGGTTGACCAAGACCTCAGATGAAAAATGACCGCCTCTCAACAACCTGCCATCTCGACGCTTTGGACCGTAACGACAATGGGCTGCTGCGCGTGATAACCTCATAGCCTCCGCCATGTGGCGACGTCCCCATGCCTCCTCGATTTCTTCCAGAAGACCCTGTCGTCGGATGCGAGCAAAATGCTGCCGTCGACGCCGTAACTGCTGACTCAATTGCGCCAGTCTCGATTCAACTTCTGGAATGAAATCTGCATCTGCCTCCGCACACATGTCTATTTTAGCTCGTCGAAGGCGAGCGCGCTCTCGAAGAAGTTCAGCTCTGTCGGAACCTTGCTGTCGATACAATGGATCGCTGGACACCTGGTGGCCGAAGAACTGCTGCCCAACCTGTACGAGAATTTCTTCCATATGCTGAACGATCTCGTCTGGTCTGCCCGTAGACAACGTTGCCCGCCATGTGTCCTCACTCTCATGCAACGACTCCTCCACTGCTGAAAGAAATTCGCCCCTCCGATAACCTTTCCGTAGGCATCTCATCATGTCGTCTAGGTTCCAGCGCGTACGGGTGTGCGTCGAGTTCGGCTCCCTATCCAATGGCTGCATACCCTGCAATTCGAGGTACAAGGGGACGTGGTCTCTCGGGGGTGGCCCTCTGTAGGCCTGTAATTCTGCACCTAATCCAAACAATGGAGAACATCTTGAAACCATGTCAATCATACCTGTTGGGACGAACATGTAATCCACACAACTGCTGACACCTTGTGTGCCGTACCATGTGTGCTCCAGCTCTGCCTTCAGCGTGTTCATCGCAAACATGTGCTGCCTCTGATTGATGTACCTGAATACTTCACCTGCCCCACCTCTACGTTGTTCTCGGCATCGGCCCTCCCCCACTGCCGTCGACTCGATTCGCGTCCACTTGCCCGAGACGCGCGTGATGCCCTGTCCGTCGTTGAGGTCGACACACACCAGCGGGGTGCACCGCGCGGGCAAGCTCTGAATAATTGACTCATACCAGGACCCGATCAACTTCACCGTGGCTAGGTACTGGGGCTGCGCTGCCGTGTACTTGGGCTGAGGTGGGAGGTACATCGCCACTGCCGCCAGGTCCAGTGGACCACGACGGATCCGAGCTGCCACTGCGCGACCTCCCGCCTCGATTGGACTAGCCCAGACCTGCCTCACGTGCTTCTCCTTGAACTTACTGCCTAGGATGATCGCGCAACCTGTGGACTTGTTCGAGAACTGCGCCGTCGTCGCCTCTGCCTCCAGGACAATGCGGTTCCGAACCCGAGACGTGAGCACCTCTTCAGCGTGGCGATGACTACGCTGTGTCCCCGCCAGCAGCACCAGATCCACGTTCGCGCAGCTCTGGACTCTCTCATGCATCCTGGTACCCGTTGCGGACATCGGGTTGAATCCCAGTACACCTTAGGCGATGCTTAAGAAAACTTAAATTTTCGGCCAGAGTCTCGATTATTCTTAATGTTTCAACGTAAACCCTAAGATTTAATAGAAAACTTTGGTTTTTATTCAAGTTCTGAGACTATGAATTTCTTAACCCATGATTTCTTAAGCATTTCGCCAGGTGTACACGCAGAGCCCACTGGCCCACGGGCCGCACCATCGCGTGCGCGGTCGCCCGCCCGGTGCCCAGTGGGAGGCCTCTTGGCCTGCCTCCCTCTGCCGCCGTCGCTCGTTTGTGCCAGGGCGGCGGCTGGAGGAGGAGGAGGAGGAGGAGGAGGAGGAGGAGGAGGAGGAGGAGGAGGAGGGAGGAGGAGGAGGAGGAGGAGGAGGAGGAGGAGGAGGAGGAGTGGGGATCGAGGATCCATGAGGTCTTGGACGCTCCGGGGGCGTCTTCGGGAGTCCTGGGGGGCCTCTGGGTGGGCGCTTCCTGGAGGAGGCTGCCCACCCCCTCTTCTCGAAGAAGAGCAGAACAGCATAAGCACAAACTCTTGGAGCTCCGCGCGGATTTCTTGGAACGGCGCTGAACCCCCCTCCCTGGCGCGCGGAGCGCGCCACGGGGCGGCGCTGCAGGCGCCGCCAGCGCCGATCCAAGAAATCCTCGCGGAGCTCCAGAAGTTTATGCTTATGCCGTTCTTTGTTTCTCTATGCCTCGCCGCCGCTGCCCCCCCCAGCGCCGGCCTTACCTCGCGCCTGGCCCTGCTCTGAGAGGGCCCGGCTTCCCCCCTCGTCCCCTCCGTCGCTGGGCGCCTCCTTCTCCTCCCCCTGCATGGTTGCCCAATTCGCGCGCCGCTTGCCATGCGAATGCCTCTTCCGCCAGCGCAGTCACTCTGCCTAGCCGCTGACGCAACAAGTTCCTTCATCCTCGCCGTTACCTCCACCCTTCCTTCGGCACTGCCTGGCCTCGGCGCGCCCCGCGCCGCACCCTCCCTGGCGCGCGGAGCGCGCCAGGGGCGGTGCTGGAGGCGCCGCCAGCGCCGATCGAAGAAATCCTCGCGGAGCTCCAGGAGTTTTTGTTTATGCCGCTTTTTGTTCCTACCTCCTCCTCTTGCATGGTGGCAGAATTCGTTCCAACCGACGGCATTCCCGTTTAAGCCTCTCATCGCCAGCGCAGTCACCCTCTGCCTAGCCGCCGACGCGACAAACAAATCATGCCGTTCCTTGTTCCTCTGTCCTCCTGCAGCTGCCCCCCCCCTGTCGCTCATCGTCGAACTCTTCGACGTCTGGGCGTCCCTTCTTCCTCTCGGCCGTCCCACCCCCCTCTCTTTGCCCGCCGGCCACTTCGCTGGTCGGCGCCCCCTTCTGGCCTCTCGCTGCAGCGGAGTCCGCCGCCTCGCCGCCGACGGAAGCATGGTTCCCTCTGTCCTCGCCGCGGCCTCCACCCCTCGCCGTCGCGCTGCCTGGCCTCGGCGCGCCCCGCGCGCCTGCACCCCCGCGGGCTCCTCGTGCCGAGGCCTGCGCGCGCCGGGGCCGCTCCGGAGCGGCGCCTGGCGGCCGACGGGGGTGGAGCCGCAGGCGGCCCCGCCTCTCGCTGCCGCCGCAGGGCGGCGACGGGCGGCGGCCGACGCACGAGGCACGAGGCACGAGGCACGAGGCTCGACGCACGAGGCACGACGACGACGACGACGACGACGACGACGGCGACGACTCGAGGCACGATCGGTGGTTCAAAGATGGGGTCCTGGAGCATCATGGGGCTCAGGATCGAGGATTGAGCTTTATTTTTTTGCCCCTCCTTCCGTTTTCCACCCTTCGCTCTTGACTCGACCGACCAGAACGTTTCAAAACACGCCCTTCAGGAAGTGGGCGTCAGGCAGGAGGCATTGTGATATCATAAGATGTAGCAACAAGGCAATGAACATGGAAAGAACAAGCACGAGGGCCACTGGCCAATCTCGGACCTGAACATGACGAAGCCGAACCCAGCACGAAAAATCAAGAGGCTTCTAGGCCTCTGGAGGCACAGACGTCCGACGTCGTGATTCTTTCAGCGCCGGCGCTCTTCCTCGATTTCGGCTTGCAGAGGTCCTATTTCGGGCCCCAGGGCCATCATAAAACGGTTCTGGATGAACCGCCCGCCCCTGCGAAGAGTCCGAAGCCTGCAGGCTCTTTGGAGGCCACGAGCTAGTCGAAGCGGCAAGCAGTCCGCAACCTTTTGCTTGTTCCCCTCCTGACACTCCCGTGGAGCTGGGCCCTCGTTTTGAATACGCAGCGCCGCGCGTCTCCTGCCTTCCTTCCTTCCATTCCTCTTCTTTCTCCTCCTCCTCCTCCTCCTCCTCTTTCTTCTTCTCCTTCTCCTCCTCCGCCTCCTCCGCTTCCTCCTCCCCCCCTCCTCCTCCTCTTCCTCCTCCTCCTCCTCGTCTTCCTCCTCCTCCTCCTCCTCCTCCTCCTCTTTCTCCTCCTCCTCCTCCTCCTCCTCCTCCTCCTCCTCCTCCTCCTCCTCCTCCTCCTCCCCTCGCTGATTTCGGGGCACGCCTCACGCGGACCGTGCTCCAAAGGGAGCTCCATCTGGGGCCCCCGCGAGGGCGCTCGCACGGCGCTGCCCCACCCGTCTCGGCACACCGCTGACGCGGCTCGCGCCCCACAGGGGGGCTCCGCCCAGGGCCCCAGGCAGGGCGCTCGCACAGCACCCCCCCGCCCACTTCGGCACACCGTTCGCGCTTCTTTTTTGTTTTTGTTTTGTTTCCCCCGTCGGCGGCTGGGCAGAGGGTGACTGTGACGAACGGCATGAACGGGGGTACCGTTGGGCCGAATCGTGCCACCATGCAGGAGGAGGAGGAGGAGGAGGAGGAGGAGGAGGAGGAGGAAGAAGGAGGGACGCGGCCGAAGGAATCTAAGGACGGGGCGGGCGGCATCCGCTCGCACACACACACACACACGGATCGTGCATCGCTCACCACCCACCAAACCACCCCAACTCAACCCGACTACCCCAGTTTGATCTCCATTCCCAGTGGGGTGGGGGGGGCGTCGTAGAACATTGAACAAACGTGTGGAGCCCGTGCCCCCCACCTCAACCCGAAACTTGCGTCTTCGGGTTGGGTCAGTCGTGAGGAGTTCGGCGCGCCGCTGTGCGCCGAGCTCCTCCTCCGCAGACTCGCCTGGCACCGCCCCGCGGCGCGCGGACCGCACGAGGAGAGAGGGCCCTGCCTCCTGCCTCCTGCGCTGCGCACGGCTGCACAGGGCTAGGCCCCTCGCACCTCGCCGTCCTTTTTTGGGGCCCCTGCCTGGATGATCGGGGACCCCCATGGCTCGAAGAAGGAACAACTGCATAGGCATAAGCTTGTGGCGGTCCGCGCGGACCGTCAAAGGTTTATGCTTACGCCGTTGCTCATTCCTCTTGTGGCCCTGCCTGACGGGTGCGTGTCTCCTTGCCGAGGTCACAGCTTCCACGCGGTGCCCTGGGGCACGGGCGGGCTCCCAAGCGGAGCGCACACGCCTGGCGGTTGCTCGTCGGTTCGGTCGCGTGTGTTTTGGGAGCAGCAGATCTCAGCAGCGCGAAGTCTTTCGGAAGTCTCGGCGTCTGGGGGCCGCTTTGGGCCCCGGGCCGTCAGAGAACCATCCAGGATGCGACATGACTGGTCCCTGGGGGGAGGTCGAGGCGTCCAAGGCCCGCGTATGGAATCAAGGCAGGAGCTCTGGACAGGCAGCCTTGTAGGAAGCTGATCAATGGTTTGAGCGCGATCCGAAGCCCTGTCGGAGCGCTCCACAGCGCTCAGGAACATTCTCGGCGCCCAGTCCGTCATCCTCGAGAAGCTGGCGCTCAACGATCACCGAGTTATCCGTGCCAGATTTGTCCGCATTCTGTTTCCGCCCCAGAGGGGAGGGGATAGCCGTGTGGTCCCAACTCCAGATGCCGAAGGAAATCAATTGAGCAACCCGCGCATTCACACACTCGTCGGTTGCACGCAGTCGGGGCGGGAAGCCGCTGGACTCCGAGCAGCTCGAGCGCTCGAAGTTAACGGTCTGGCTAAGCGAACCAAAGCTGGGCTAACTGAGGCTCCTGGAAGAAAACGCGGGCAAACGATGGTAGCCAGGCATGCCGAAAACAGGCTGGCCTCACAGGGCACGAATTCGGGCGACAAGGGGGCAGTCAGGCAAGGGCAAGGAGAGCCAAGCAAAGCGGAGAGAGAGAGAGAGAGAAAACGCGTGCACATTTTTGAGTCGGTGGCGCAGAGGAAACTCGGGCGCGGTCGGCAGGTGGAAGTGCCAAATGCGAACGAATTTAGCCGAACGTGCCATGATGGAACAGCCCAGCCATGGCCATGCAGACGGTGGTGTGGTAGACAAGCAAGAAGCGCTGAAAAGACAGCATGCAGCGGGCAAACAAATCCCCTGAACATAAGCTCGACGTGGATAGTTTGAAGCGCAAGCAGCAGTCTTATGCTATTTCCCCAAAGGCCAGAAACACAATAACTGTAATTGGTGCCACTGAGTCATCGTAGCTATGTTAGGCAGTGAAGACCAACAGGTGTGAAGCTGCCAGACCATCCGATTGGTGGGGTAGCGTTGGAGCTATAGCCTGTCGAAACTGATGGGTAGAGTGCAAGCCTCCGAAACGGTGACGCATTATGCATAGCAAGTATGGGTGTAGTGCTAGACCTACCAGCCCGGCGGCACCACAACTGTCGCCAAAGTCGGACGCTGTGATAGCGAATTGCTGGTCACGGAACGCGCAGCACACGCAAGAACACGAACATGCGGGGCACAAGCCAGCCAAATTAGCCATGCCGAAAAATCCTTGGTGGGTAGCCAAGCCACCAAGAGAGGCCAGTGTAAGTGACGCGTCCAGGCTTGCCGAACACAGGCTGCAATATAAGCGCCGACCGTAGGGCGCCGTCCGAGCAGCTCGGTAATGACGCGGGATGCGCTGCCAGCACAGACGTCTCAGTCGCCACCAAATCGACCAAGGACGTCCCACAGAGGAGGAAACAACAGGCAGGGGGGGAGCAACAAGAACGCAATAGAGGCGAACCACGCCGGCAGTGACCGCTAGGCGTGCACGCAGAAGCCGCTCACCCCCCCGCGGTGGGGACGACCCGGAAGGAGGGAGAGGGCGGGGACAGAGCAAGCGGGGGCAGAGGCGGGAGGGGAGCCCAGAGAGACGACGGCGGGGGACCCCACGACGCGGCCGAGCCCACGGCCGACCGACGACGGCGACGGCCGATCGAACCCCGCGACCCTCAAGAGAGGAGGGGGCCGACGAGCCACCGCGGAGGGGAGCGCCTCCGGAGGGTGGCGGGAACGCCGCGGCACCTCCGACAGAGAACAGAACGCCACAGGGCCCGAAGGCCAGGAGGGGCGGAGCACGGGCGAGGGAAGCGCGGCAGGATCAGGAGGCGACAGATCGGCGCGTGCCCAGAGCGACAGAGCGGTTAGCAACGTGGCACAGCAGGCGACTCATCGGTGTGTGTGTGTGTGTGTGTGTGTGTGTGACTAGAGCGACTGATCGGTGGGTCAAAGGGCAAGGCAGCGACGGATCGGTGCGCGTCCGATGCTCGACCGCCGGAAACAGGAGCATCTGCACCGCGCTGCCCTGCTCTCGCACGCTGCGAGGAAATCGTGCAGGAAGCTCACGTCATGCCACCGTGGATCCAGCGTGTCGCCGCCGTGCTGCGCGCAGTGAGCTCTCCAAGCTATCTCCCTCTGGCCCCACAGCCGCTTGATGCGGTGCGGGCCACGAGTTGCTTATCGAAGGCGCCCGCTGGGCCAGCAAGGTGCCTGGCCGAGCCAGGGCCCTCGGCTGCTTCGGGCTGGCCACTCGCTCCTGCCGAGGCGGGCGGGGCGCGCGAGCGCGGGCTGGTTGCCGCCCGCGCATATGGTAGGAAGCACAGGACGTCGATTACGACCTGTCGTGGTCGCTGCTTCTTCTGCCCGTTCGCTTCGCGCCAGCTGATCGGGATGCAGTCGCAGAGAAGAAGAACCGCGTGCGCTCACACACACAAATCCGCGGGCGCCCATGGGCGTGCGCTCCGCCCTGGATCGCCCGCTCTCGCCCTCTGGCGGGCGCTGTCCACACGCCGTGAAGCCAGCTTGCCGCGCCTCTGGCACGCCTGCGAACCTGGACGGGGACGCCTGGACGGCC